AAAATATTTGTCCAAGGTCATATAACTAGGCAGAATCAGGATTCAAATCTCCAGGTCTCGGACACTTCATCACTATTATGTCAATGCATCCATAGCTTTTCTGAAAATATGTGCGGTGTGTACTTATAAGGAAGCTGCAGTATAATTATAAAATGTGTAAGGAAGTATCAGATTTTCAAAGTGTTGCTCCCAAGAGACATGCTTGCAGAAAAAAACACTATCAACTCCGAAGATGATGACCTGTTATGGAAATAGTACTATTATTTACAGACCTCAACACTACTGAAAAACTATTTTAAAGTATTATACATAACCAGTATAACTGATTCATATGGTAAATTGTGAATATGCATAACTACAAGGCTACAAATCCATCTGACTTTAAAAAAAAAATGAAATGACCATGATGACAACCAAAGAGAGAAGCTGTAACACACAGAAGCATAACACACCAGAAGAGACTCACCAAATTTCCCACAACAAGTGCATTTTTGAATTCATCTGAAATTTTTTCATGTGATAAAAACCAGCTTACTAGTAATAACTGCTTTAAAAAGCCTTTATATTTTTGATATCAGACAACAATTATTTTGGGGAATAATGATTTGGTCCTTAATTATCAAATTCATAAAGTTATAACATATAATGGTTGAAATTCTATAAACCATAAACTTCTTACTGCAAAATAAATTACTGCCATACTGAGTAAAGAAAATATTTTTATTATATTAGGATATACCTAAAATTAGAATTGAAAATGTCCTCAAGATTGTGAAATAAAAATATGCATATAAGGTTAGCTCTTTAAGTGCATTTGTTATTGAATGAACTTTATTTTATTAGTAATCTTGCCTTTTTATTCAAACCCCCAAAAGTTTTAAATAATAATAATGCAAAGCCAAAGAAACACTCCTCAATTGTAGAATATAATAGTAAGTTTGGCTTATATTTACCAGTCTGAATGATCGCAGAACAGACAATCCTTCCACTTCCGATAGAAAAAGCTCCACTAAACTTAAAGTCACAATAATGCTGTCAAAAATATTCCAGCCTACTTGGAAATACTCATATGGATCCATGGCAATTAGTTTTAAAACCATTTCGGCTGCAAAGATTCCTGTAAAGACCTAAGTGAGAAATACAAGTCTTTTCTGTTATTATTAGAAGGTATGGAATCAACATAATTATAATGACTTTTTGCTTAGCGCTTACTGTATTTCAAACAATGTGCTGGATACTTTACAAATGGATATTTGCATCTCGTTTAATCCTATAAACTTGATATCACTATTCCCATAGCTTTCATATAAGCATCAAAGCGTTATAAAGCTCTAACTGTCCTGTTAGCTCTCATCATTTTTAGACAGCATTTTAGAAGAGCATATCACAATTTCAGAAAAGTAAAACCTTTGAAAATTAACACAGTAGCTCTTTGCAAAAGTTTATGTGGGTCAACAAGTTGTTTTGGAAGAATATAAAAAGAAAACATTGATACTGAAATTCTGAGCCAGTCTTTTTTCTGATCAGACTACTCTTAGAGAAATAAAGAACATGTTGACTCACTCTTTAAAGATTTATCAGTAGAAAAGGAAAAAGGATTTAATCGACAGAGTGGCAACTAAAGTAACACTTCCAAAGCTTTGACACAAGAATACATTGTGCAAAACATCATTAATTCATGATGTCAGTATCAAAGGACTCACTTAAAAAGGGAACAGTGAAAAACTTGTTTGTGAATCATTTGGGTACACTTTGACTGAAAGAATCTGACCAAAGAAGGGTTGAAGAGAAATGGTTGGTTTGAAGGGAAATGGTTAGATCTGTAACTGCATAAGATAATTTTAAAATTATGCAACATCAAGAGGATTAGCAGAGAGCACCTGGACTTAGGGTTGTGGTAATATTAATAGATAAGAGACACAGTGAATCATTTTTGAGTTCACAGGGATGCAGTCAACTTAGCCAGAAAGTGCTGACTTGCATGATCTGGACCTCCAATAACAATTAGAAACTAGATAGTTCTTCTTTTCACTAATGACAGACAGAGGGAGGAAGAATGCTAACTCTGAGATACAAAGGGTACAAACTTTTTGATTGGGAGTATTTGTAGACAATTTAGGAGAGAAGACAGATCCAGAAGAAACTCTTTGGTTTCAAAGATCAATTATATTGGGACCACATCAAAAGTAAAAATATCTTATATAGATATTCACAAAGACACTGAGTTATTCACAGTTCATAAAGAGTCATAAACTGGGATTCTTTGGCCCTAATAAAGAACTACTGCCTGATTCACATACATTATCAGAAACTGGTACTTTCTCTTTGCCATGAGGCATTAGAGTGTGACCGGTACTGCACATTTAACAGATCACTTTGGCATCAGTTTTCCTAATTGGATCCTATATATTCCAGAGACTGTAGATCACCTTCTTGCCTGCCCTTGTGTCTTCTGTGTCCAGTTCAACACTTGGTTTCTTAAAATTGTCCTTAAGGCTTGTTTATGTTAATTCATCGAAAGTGTGATGATGATGATGATGACGGCTTTAATTTGTTGCATACTTACTATATACCAGTGTAATAAGTTAAGTGGAAACTGTTTAATCCCCTAGCAATATGACAAATGGTATATGATCATCATTATAGTATAAATAAATATTATTCTTATTTTATAATTAAGTATTTTATAAATCATAAAATTAAAGACTATAGAGTTTAAAATATTTGTCCAAGGTCATATAACTAGGCAGAATCAGGATTCAAATCTCCAGGTCTCGGACACTTCATCACTATTATGTCAATGCATCCATAGCTTTTCTGAAAATATGTGCGGTGTGTACTTATAAGGAAGCTGCAGTATAATTATAAAATGTGTAAGGAAGTATCAGATTTTCAAAGTGTTGCTCCCAAGAGACATGCTTGCAGAAAAAAACACTATCAACTCCGAAGATGATGACCTGTTATGGAAATAGTACTATTATTTACAGACCTCAACACTACTGAAAAACTATTTTAAAGTATTATACATAACCAGTATAACTGATTCATATGGTAAATTGTGAATATGCATAACTACAAGGCTACAAATCCATCTGACTTTAAAAAAAAAATGAAATGACCATGATGACAACCAAAGAGAGAAGCTGTAACACACAGAAGCATAACACACCAGAAGAGACTCACCAAATTTCCCACAACAAGTGCATTTTTGAATTCATCTGTCATTGGGTGATGCTCCATAGCCATAAATAGTGTGTTTAAAACTATGCAAATGGTAATTGCAAGATCTACAAAAGGATCCATTACAATAAAATAGATAAACTTTTTGAATTTTATCCAATAGGGAGAGCAGTTCCAGATCAAGAATTTGTGTGCAAATCTGTACCACCAAGGTGGACATTTTTGTCTGGACTCTTCAAGTTCTGGTAGGAAAAAAAAACAACAACAGAGAACAAGAAGTCAACCATTTGCATATTTTATTACTATCCAGAAACAAATCAGCAGTGCACTCAAATATTGAAACAAGGTTTGTGATTTAGACTTTGGAAATTTAACAGTACTGTTTGAGTGAAAGAATAGCATATTACATAAAAGTCTTCTATCACATGCTCATTGACTAGATAGGAAGGAGGTGAAATTCATGACTAAAAGCAAACATGTGGGCATCTCTCAGAGAAAACTATACCTACCATGCAATGGTAACAGAAGAACTAATGTTTCCTTAATGGAAAAATGTGTATTTTCCATCAATATACATATTTCCCCCCTGCATTTTTAATCCCATGAAAACAGTAAAACAATTATTTCCAGAAAAAGTTTTTGCTAGTTCACAGGTAAAAGCAATCCCAGAACCAAGAGAGTATAAATAATTTATGGAGGGACTAATGCAATGGACATTTCACACCATTAGTCCATTTACTTTTCACCATAAACTTAGGAGGTGGGTTGAAACTTGGTCTGAGCCCACAGTGGGAGTGTGTGGGGTGAGGTGTTATGTTAGCCCACGGGCAAGATGGGACCTGGGACATGTTATGGGGGGTGGGAGGGAGCCAGCACATTTTTTTTTTTTTATTTCAGCAAATTATGGGTGTACAGATGTTTAGGTTACGTGTGTTGCCCTTGGTTCCCCCCACCACCGAAGTCCGTGTTTCAAATATGTCCATCCTTCGGGTAGTGCGCATTGCACTCCTTGTGTATACAAATACCCGTCCCCTCCTCCCTCCAAGTTGTTACCCTTCGATTCTCTTTGCTTGTTAGAAGAGAGAAATTCAGAGAGACTAGGTAGTTACTAAGATTATAGAGTGAAAGAATCATGTAACTCTGGGTTAACCTAGTTTTAAGCATCAATTACCATTAAGTTATTTATCTTTGAAAGGTAGTATCACCCAATGCTTGTTTTTAATCACAAATAACTTTATCCATTTTTTAAGCACATAAAAACGATTCTATCAGTATCCATCTTTACTGTCCCTCAAAGCTATTTTATGTTCTCTGAATTCTTCCTAAAAACTTCATGAACTTATTTAAGGCTGACCAAAATTGACATAAATTTTATTTAAGAATCTGTATGGCAAAGAGAATATTATTACATACCTTCTACGGTGTTTGTTAATATGCTTGCTCTACTCATTGCTCTTTGTCTGAGATTGGGGTCATTCAGCATATCCTCTGAAAGGAGATAAGAACTGGAACGTCTTTTTTTATGTTTTTGACTGGTTGTACCCTGGGGAAGGGAAAGATGATTAACTTAAGTCTTAGGAATAGAATTCTAATAAATTATAGGAATAAAATAAAATCTTGCTTATGTAGCTGTAGTGAGTAATTAAAATAGAGACTAGATTGCTGGATTTAAATCATGGCTCTGCTATATACTGGCTGTATATATCATAGGAGAGTTACTTTGTCTCAGTGTCATCATTGGTAAAAGGGATAATAATACTACTTGCTTCATATTCTTGTTATGAGGATTGAAGGATTAATACTGGTTATATTGCTTTTATCATCTCTTCATCTTTCTAGATTTGCAGTTTTTTCATACAGTTTTACCAAGTGAGAGGACTACATGAAAACAGTAAACAAATGCTTTAGTGCTGTGTATGTAAAGGGGTAAAACCTCATCATTCTCTGATAACTTTCTATAATTACCCTTTGTTGAAGTAGCAACATTAATGAAGGCTACTGTAATGATTGTTTCTTACTGCCAAGGAAGACCTTGTGAACTGAGCTGAGTATATGAAAATAAATGACTCAGTTTGAAAAGAACAATTAAGACTTGAGGGAACTGTAGCAAAATGGGGAATCCAAGCTCCATGTGAAAGAGGTGACCACTGTCTGTTCAGCTCTAAAAATTGTTGCCATGCAAGAATTATGAGCTCAGGCATACTGGATATATTCATTTTATGTAAAAATTTCTTATTTTTAAAACTTGGCAACTAATTCAAATTTAAAACACTAGGCTGGTTCAGTGCAGGCCAGCAATACATACACACATACATATTCACATGTATGTACACAAACAACTATACAACTCTACATCTATAATCTATTTGCTTATATGCAGTATGTGGTATATATTTTACAAACATATATACTTCTAGAGTTGTAAAGTTGTATAGTTATAGTCATACATGTATGTGATTCAAAACTTAGACATACAGGCATAAATATGTGCATGTGTGTATGTATACATGTGTATGTGAACAGCCACACACGCATAACTGCAGGTGACTTTTTATAGAGATCTCTCAATAACCATGTTTCTCTGCGATAGTCTCTAATTTACTGACATTCCAGAAGCAGAGATTTTTCTCCCCCAAATTTGAACAAGAATTTCCCTGATTAAACAAATTCTTTTCCATTTAGACATGTTTCAGGTGTGGAGATTATATTATTTAATATTTGTTATGCAATGTTTTTATCTAAACTGCCACACTTTTCTGTTTATTGCATTTCTACTAGGATCTTAAAAATATCCACTAATTCTTCTAGTTTTGTAGCTTCAGCTTTAGGATTTATTGTATTATTAATTTTTCTGTGGTAAAAAACAAACTTTTAAATAAAAGCACTTCATTTTAAAATATGAAATAATCTCCAAATCTGATATGAATTACATAATATTTTACAGATTACACACATCATTGAAAAACAAAACACGATAAAAGTCTGATTCCATAGACATTCAACATGCTCATTTGCTAAGGAAAAATACTTTGACGGATGGGCTTAAGCTGTAACATGCAAGCACAGAAGTCACATATTACCTAAAAGCACATGCATTTATTCAAACTGACACGTGTGGCCATGGCTTTGATGGAACTTTATTCTCACTTGAAATACTAGTATCTGAAAATATGAATATATGAATATGTAGCATATGTTCAAAGCTTGTTGGGTTAGTGAAAGCCCTTGCTGATATTTAACAATGCAGCGTACCATAATGGATAGGCTAAAGAGGTATCCTGGAAACTCCAGTAACTAGAAAGGTCTCACTTTCAAGCTGAATGAGACAACTTTACCTAACCATTCCTAAAGTCCTGGAATTGTTATTTTGAAATGGTTGTTCTAGTTTTGTTTTTGTTTGTTTGTTTGTTTTTTGTTTGTTTTATCAATGCATGTGTTTTGAATATTTTGTTTTGATTCATAGACTCCAGACAAAAGATACTTTTTAATTAAAATAGTTACATTTATGTAGAGGAACTAAAGCATAGCCTTTCTAGATTATTTCCAAGATAAGAAGCTTACTGCACATGGAGAGACAACAGAACACTGTGGATAAGAACACAAGCTCCAAAACAGAGAATCTCTGTTTAAACTTCAGAGCTATCATTTATTAGCTGAGTGAACTTGGACAAATTTCTTTATTTCCCTGTGCCTCAGTTTTCCTATTTGTAAAATAGGGACAATAGTATATTATGACATAGGGTTGTTGTAATTACTAAACACATGTTTGCTATTATTATTGTTAGGATCTCAAATACGATCCCTTGCGATAAGGTAATACTAAGTTGTGACTTGAAAAAGATAGTATGGGCAAATAACCTAAATTTCTTATAGAAATGAGACCTATTAGTAACTAATAAGATCAGCATTATTAATGCCATTTTTGATGATACATATATATCTTTTATAAATTGTTCTCTAAAGAGATGGTTTATAATCTTCAATTGTAAAATCAATAAAGTACTTTTTTTTTCAAAAATGGGATTTTAAATATCTTTGAATTAGTGGCCTACAACACATAGTATGAGGATTAAGTTAATGAGTTAAAGGTGTGTTTCTACAGAAAAAATATTGCAAAATGCAGAGCCATTCACAGGACCAGAGAGAAGGTCCCTCCAGCAGAGAGATTGACTGATGCAGGAATAAGGGCCCAGCCATGCCTGGGCTATGTAAAATGTCCTTACGCTGTCATCAGAAGTTGCCTTATCTATTATCACCTCTGGCAGAAGCTGTCCATTGGGGAGCATGAGGGCTGAGGGTCCATCAACCAGGGAGACCACACCATTGCAGTCCACGGCACTGTGCATCTTCCCGTTCACTGGCAGCATTGGGGGGGACCTACTGGCTTGGCTGATGTTACTGCTTCGCCGCTCCTGGGGTCTGTGGGGCACGAACAGTGAGCCCCTTCTGCTCTCATTGTCTCCAAAAATGCTGTGCTCATCGTCAGCAAATTCAGTCTCAGATCCCATATCTCTTCCTCGACCCTTGAAACTAAAAAGACTTGTTCTGCTGCTCCGTCTTACAGAAAACAAGGAGCCACGAATGCTGAGTGGTGACTATAGAAAAAATAAAACATGACACGTATCAGCTGAAGCATCTACTAATAGAAGTGCACTTCACATAACTACTGCTGAACCTGTTGGTCTAGGGGCAGGTGACTTTGTACTGATTTAAAAGAAACATATTTTAAAACAAAGCAATTCAGCAAGAAGACAAATTCTTGCAAATAAGGGATGAAATTATTTGAAGGAGTCATCCTTTCAGGAACAGGTAAATTATTTGTTGCTGTACAGCTCTCTACTATTGTGGCCTACAATGACCACTTTATTCTTTTTATATCATTCATTTTTCTGTGCAGAATGTATCACTTTAAAAAGGAATTTAGTATTACTACCTGTTATTTAGCTTTTCCTACATTAATCCCTAAGTTCCACAAGAAATTGCAACTTTCTTAAGACCAAAGACTTTGCTGTATGTTTCTTTGCATTGCATTGATTGCAACACACCTTACAAATTGAGAGCTCATTTAAGGCATATTTTAAAATACCTTTTAATAGCAGCGAGTTTACAAAGTCATAAAATATTAGAACTTGGAAAAGAAGTTGTACAACCCCAAAGAAGGAGAAAAAGTCACATTTATGTGACTTATGTCCAGGATAAACTGTTTCTATAAACCAAATTGAATGCAAATTCTTTGGAAGTATCTAGTTCAATAAACATTCGTGCTTACTATGTAAAGGAAAAAGTGGCAGGCATTGGGAACAATGGAAAACGGGTATGACAAGTTTTTTGCCTTAAAAGTAACTTGGACTGCTGTTGTCATATTTGTTTTTATTGATATATGTGTTCAAGTTCTGTCTCACCATCTAGATAGTGAAATCTTCTAAGGCAGGGACTCGATCTTTTATTTCTGTGTATATCAGATGGAGTCTTACAGACTTAAGTAGTAGAAGCTAGAAATTTTAAATGAAGGCTAAGTTGAGAAGGACAGTAATTCTGAATGGGGCACTGAAGAGCAGATTGGGAGAAATGCAGACGACAGAGGAAAATTCGTGGGATGGTGACACCTGAGCTGATGGGTGAAGAATGGTACTATGACAGGAGGAAACAAGAAAGAAAATGATTTCAGTTAGGGAAAACCATGAGTACTAAGCAATGAAGGTAGGAAAGTACAAGGCGTGTAGGTAAGAATGAGGGCACATGAAGGCAAAGGAAGGTGGGAAGGTGAAGCTGAACTCAGCTTATAGCAGGATAAGATATGGGTTGTCTGTGGTCAGTGGTTATTCAACAAGGATTTTTGTTTTGTTTTGTTTTTTTAAGCTGGGGAGGGGGATTACTAGATTTTTGTTTTAGAAAAATTATTTGTGGAGTCGTGTTATGAAAAACAGGGAAGTGCTAAGATGAATGGAAACAATGGTTCATCTTTGGAGTTTGTACTGAACTGCAGGAAGGGAGGCCAGAGATATGGAGATTTTGATGGAAAAAGACAAAAAGAGAAAGAGAAATTCCACACAGCAGAATTATTAGAGCATGGGGCTACATGTTAGCAGCTGATAGGGTTAGGGGTGGAGGATGTCAAAGGCTTCTACAAAGTTCCAAATTAGGTAACTGATATTCTGGTGACATCATCACCTACAGTGGTGAAGAAAAAAGAGAAACTAGTCTAAGATTAATTTCTAATAAATGAGGCATTAAAAACTACAGACTACATATGAATATGAAAGTTAATCTATAGTGTGAACAACCTATTTCTATAATGGTTCTCAGGAATATTTTGTTTTTAAAACTGTGTTTATTAGAGAAGATATGACAATTCTGAAACTATAACCTCCTTCAAAAATGATCAAACTTAAATGGGAACCATAAATACCTATCCATAGGTAGGTTTTTACCTAAAAACATACCAATGAAGTCACTCACTATCTTCTCCTGAGATCCCTTACCCCACAATAAAACATTGTGCTCTCTCATCCTGCCTCTGACAGTACACATTTGGCAGTGTTCCTGGTACCTGATTAGGGGTAGACAATCTCTTTTCACGTGCTCGCCTGTGCCCTTCAACACCAAGGTGGATACTTTTTCGCCTGATGTTCTCTTCTGATTCCGATTTGGACAATTTCTCATCATCTCCCTTTTCTTCCCCACCGGAGAGCTTCTTTTGATTCTTTTTCTTTCTTCTGTTTCTCCTCTCTTTAGCACTTTTAGAGCTCAGTTTGGATGTTTCCGAAGAACTCTCTGAGAGACCCATAATTCTGCTTCTCCCAATACTTGTATATTCAGCTGCTGCCACTGCTATTGCCTGTTGAGCCGAGACATTACACATAAATGAACCATTTTCAAATTCTGGGAAACCCTATTACAGGGCATCTCTCTGCCATCAAAATAATTACCTTGTGCATAGACTCTGTGCATGAAATGATGGTTATCTTTATACTATGACCCCAAAGCTTACAGAGCATATATTCACTTCTTCTGATTGTAATAAAAGCTTCATTATACTTTGGAATTAAACTGTCACATATTATTAATTTGTTTTCAGTAAAGAAAGTGTAAATATTCTATGCTAAAGTTTTACTAGGTAACTTTGAAACATAAAACTCACATAAACTGTGTAAAGATATAATTAGTTTCTCAGGTAATTAACTCAAAATTATCAATAGAAGCAGGCACTTTATAAAGATTCAGTTATCTGAAAAATAAAAGAATTATTAAAAATAACAATATCTCCAAAAAATGGTAAGGCCAATTGTTATTAGCCTGAAAGTGATTTCTAGGGATTTCCTAGGTAGTACCTGGTACTACTCATTTACTAAAAAAAAAAGTTTTTATTATAAAAATTTTAAAATATTTGTTAAATTGGAAAATAAAGATATGAGATGAAAAATGGAAAAACACTCATAATTGTACATTCCAGAAATAATTGGTGTTAATGTTTCTTCCAATCTTTTTATATATGTATAATTTTAAAATTGTGATTATATTTAATCCATCATTATTTTAACAGATTTTTCCTCATGACAGAATTTTCTTAAAACATGGTTTTATGGCAGAATAATACTCTAAGATATAAAAATATCGTAAGTCTCTTAATTATTTTCTAATTTTTAAAAATTTTAATGTTGTCTGGGTTTTAATATTATTAAAATGCTATGCTGAACATTTTTGCATCAGAGTTGCTCTGCATTGCATATTATTACCTTTCTTTGATATGTTAGATTCCTTGAAGAGATTTAACTAGGTCAAACCATCAAACAAGTTTTAAGACTCTTGCAGTACATTTGAATTTATGTTTCTCTTAGTACAAGCCTTCAAAAGCTTTTGCACTCAAGTACCACTTCGGAGAGAGGATTAAGTAGAAATTGTCAAGGCTCTGTGACTTTGCTTAAGGTGGCCACAACCATAAGTATGGCTTTCTTAGTATCTCATGTTTTACCTTAAAAATCTTTGCAACATTAATAAAAAAATGATGCACGTTTTGCTTTCTACTCCATAGAGTATCTGTTAACTTTAACATTCAAATAATTTTCCTGAAACCATTGTATATAATTGGTACAGCAAGAAAATGCAATACATATTTTGGGACTTTGAATAATAGCATACAAACTGAAGCATTGTGGGTAACAGGATTTGGAGGCACAGGCTTAGAACGTCTTTCATGCAGGAGTGAGCTGATTTTTATGGGGAAGGTGTCAATAGCTCAGTCCAGAACAGGATCCTTCATTCACACTAGAAATGAAGATGCAGTTTATATACAAAAAAATCCATTAGGGGAAATTGACCAGGGAAAGCTGAGCATAGACCAGAGGGCCTCTGATGTTACCCTTTGCATTTCTACTCTGAGGAAGAAATTTAAACCTAATAACAATACCTCAGCTTCTTCTTGCTCTTTTTTAAGTCGGTCTAACATCTGTTGAAATTCTAACTCTTTCTGTTTTGCTTCTTCAATGTTTGCTTGGTTCTGTTCTTCATAGGCCATGGCAACCACAGCCAGGATCAAGTTTATTAGATAAAAGGAACCCAGGAAAATCACCACCACAAAGAAGATCATGTAGGTTTTGCCAGCAGCACGCAGTGTCTAGGGAAAAATGCAAATTGTTATTTTAGTAATGCTAAGTTTTTTTAGTAAATTATTTCAACCTGACTGGGTTATTAGGCATGGGTAAATTTGACAATTTTGTATAGTCTCATGTTATCCAAAAATATAAAAGAATAAAATATCTTCATTTAAAACAACCAATGTTCAATATATTTTCAATACAAAAGACATAGCAATGTAATAAACCTGTACTAAAGTTAGGTATGATCCTTGATTATTAAGTATAATAATATAAAAATTCTATAATTTTTCCTGCAGTATGAAAATCACTGATAAAACTAGCTCCTTTGCTCATTTTCAAATTTTAGGAGCAGGTCATATCTATGGTCTCTTTAACTGTTAAAATTCTATCTTTTTTTTTTCCTTTAAAATGAAATATTAATGATAGCACTGAATGTCAACCCTAGGCAGAGAGCCTTATTGAATGATTTTATCTATTTATCTCATAGGTATTTACTTTTTAACTAACATATTTATTAATTTTAAAATACAAAATACTTTTTATCATACATTTTTAAATTAATTCAAAATAGTACAGATATTAAATGAAAAATAAATCTCTCTCTCCTACCTCTGATGTCTAGCTACTCAATTCCCTTTTCTATAAGTTATTTTTTACTGATTTCTTCTCTTGGATAAATTCCTAATAGTGGAATTGTTAGGTCAACAGGTATATTCATATTAATTTTCATAGAAATTCCTATGTTACCCTTTCCAGTGGTTAACAGCAATATGTGAGGAAACCTGCTCCCCATACCTCAGTTGACAATGTCTCTCTTTTGAGCTCCCTTTTTTACGTTTTTTGGATCTTTGTCATTCTGATAGGTGAAAAATTATATGGCACTATTGTTTTAATTTGCATTTCTTTAATTTTGAGTAAAGGTGACCTCCTCTTGCATATTTAAAAAAAATCATTTGCATTCTTTTTTTCCTGGGAAGTTCATTTTAATATAATTTGTTCTCATTTATAATATTCTCAGAAATTAAGTAAGCATAAAACAGGACAAAAGAAGAATCTGAGAAAAGTGAATCTGGCATTTCTAAGAAAAGTGATCCATTGTTATATATAATACAGACATTTTGGTTTCCTTCCTTGTGGGGTGGGTGCTGAGAATATATAAATAAATGCTTAAATAGAACTCACAGCCCCAAGAGGTTCACTTTCAAGTTAAAGGAGGCAGTCACCTGAAGTAACAATTACAGTACAAGAGATTGATGCTATAAACTGAAGAATCTACAAAGGGCCACGGAAATCTAGAGGAGGGAGAATTGTCTTGGGAAAGGAAAATTTAGAGAAGTGAATTGAGTCTTCAGCTGTAAATACGAGTTCAAAAACAAAACATGGTGTGCACGTGAGCACAGGGAGCTTCATGTGTTCAGTCGATTCCATGCATGCATGGAAACCACTGCATGTGCAGGAGTGATTTGACAGAACATTACAGTATGTTTTCTGCTATTTTTCTAGGGCCCTGTGGGATGACATATTGAAAAATGGGAAAGATCTGGAGATCAAATATGCCCAGAAAGGATAAGAAAATTATTAATGATTCAAGAATAACCCACTTTAAGAGTGCTGGGAGTAAACATTTGTAATTTTAGGGATAAGACAATAGAGTTTCCTCTATTCTCAACTGGATAAAAATCCTCCTTTTATGAGGCTCATAAACAACATACATCAGATTTTTATGCCATTCAAAAATGCAATGCATGTTTGTCTCGGCACTCACCTGTTGGTAAAGGTTTTCCCAGTAATCCTGGGTCATTAGCCGAAACAAGGCTAAGAAGGCCCAGCTGAAAGTGTCAAAGCTTGTGTAGCCATAGTCGGGGTTTCTGCCAGCTTTCACACAGGTGTACCCCTCTGGACACTGACTACATGTGAAAGAGAACATTACACATTAGAGTGGGTTCAAAACACAAGCTAAAGAGCCCTACTGAAAAGTTATAAATCCAAGGTTTCTTCCATAGGGCAACAACCATGAATAATGATTAAGAACACATGATTTAGAGTTAGGACGAAATGGATTTGGATCCTACCCTACTATTGACTAGTTGGTGATTTTGTCAAATTACTTGACTTTTCCAAGGCACGGCTCTTTCTGTGAAAACAGCATAATAACACCTACCTCAAAAGGATAAGATTGGTATTAAGTTTAAATAAGATAATGTGTGCAAATTATCTAGCCTACTGCCTGCACACAGAAAGCATTTAGTAAACGGTAGCTACTGGTGGCATCATCTTCATCATGATCATCATTATCATCAAAACTTGAAAACTTTCACCAGATGTTTTATAATAGTTCTTGGATCAATAAGAATTTATATGCAGGCCTCTACCAAAACTGTTTCTCCCATGTTATTCTTGGAATGGATTAAAATAAAGAATATTCAAAACATAGCAATTGTGTAAGTTCATAAAATTTGTAGCTTTAAGACTTTTTTCTTTCTAAAACTGGTAGATTGGTTTCCATGATGCCATTACATAAATAGAGTGTTCTGAGGTTCTTTTGGAAGTTGCAACCTTATCTTGTTTATTTCTATGTTCCTGGTGTACACAGTGCCCAGCGAAGAGATACCTGGATAAAGGGACAAGCAAGAGAAAATGCCCTGCTGCAAAATGAAGTTGTATGAAAGAAACAGCAAGATGCATATTTGCATAAATATGAGATTCTTAAAATATCTTTCCCCAAGTCCATACGATCCTTTTGTTTAGAGTGGCCAAAACACTGTACTCAGTTACCTGTGACTCACATTCAACTGAAGAATGGGTAGAACTTGGGGATGGAAAGAAAAATTGATTTTGTTACTCTCTTTTTCCAGAAAGAAGGCAGGCCAAAAACTACCCAACGAACTTTTGGTGGAATTTTCTGGAAGTAATTTTTTCTGCCTCCTTAAGATTTACATGACTTGTTTCTTATGTTAATGTAAGCATTACCTCAAAGTCTTGCTTTCAAGAGTAAGCATTAGCTATGAACATTTTTAAAGTCTGGATTTGCTGTGGCAGAGAATGACTCAAATAATAGCATGATTATATTGTTTTATATAAAAACAATACAGAAGCAAAAATTCTGATTAGCAAACTTATTGAGCATGTTTTTCCTTCTTTTTTAGCCTTTAGAGTAAAAAGAAAACAAATATTACCTACCCTGAATCTGTGCTGAAACCACAAAGGAGAGCATCTTTGGATCCCTCCAAATAATAAAAATATTCTGTTTAAGAAGAATTTGAACAAGATTAACATTACAGAGTGTAAACTTTAAGAGTAATAAAGCAGGTAAATTGATCAATATAGACACAGATACATACATTCAGCCTGGTCCAGGCAATGTGAAGCCATTTATTTATCATAGTTTCATATATTCTCCCTAAATATTCATTGATAACTTCTTATGGGCCAGGCAGTGAACATGAGGATAAACATAATAAATAAGATCACTTGTTCTGTGGAGCTTGCTTTATGTTGAGGTGAGGGTAGAGTTTGGGGGTGGAGAATGACTTAAGTGAATAAATAAATTTACAAGGCATTTTCAGACAGTGATAATTGCTTTAAAGAAAATAAATTAAGACAAGGTGATAAGATGCAGTCCCAGGCTGGGAAGTCCTTTCAAAGGACATGACGTTTGGAACTGAGACCTATTTGTGACAAAGAAGCAGCCATGCAAATATCCTGGTGAGGAGATATTTGGGCTGGGGGAAGAGCAAGAACCAAGGCCCTAAGGCAGAAATGAAGTTGGTGCGTGGAAGAACCAGCAAGATGGCCAGCCTGGCTACAGTATGGTGAGTGGGAGGACTGTGGCGGCAGAGGTAGGCAGGGGTCAGATCATATCAGGCTTTGCATATCATTGAAAGGAATTTGGATTTTAAGTATGATTAGAAGTATGATCACGCATTGCTTAATGATAGAGATACATTCTGAGAAATGCATCATTAGGCAATTTCATCACTGTGACCATCATAGAGTGAACTTACGCAAACCTAGATGGTGTGGCCTACTACATACCTAGGCTCTATGATATAGCCTGTTGCTTCTAGGCTACAAACCTGTATAGCTTGTTCCTGTACTGAATATTGCAGGCAACTGCAACACACTGGTAAGTATCTGCATATCTAACCATATCTGAACATAGAAAAGGTACAGTAAAAACACTGTATTATAATCTTATGGGACCACCATTGTACGTGCAGGCTATCATTAACCAAAGTGTCGTTATGCAGTGCAAGACTGTAGTAGAGAAGTGGAAAATAGAGATACAAGATATCGTTAACATTTTAAAATGTCACTGTGGTTGCTTTGTGGGCAGTGGACTATAGACGAGCAAATGTAGAAGCTGGGAGACCAGTTAAATGACTGTGGTGAAAAATGACATGGCTACAACTCAGAGACTAACTGTGGATATGGAGAAAAGAGGATGGAAGCAGAGTGGACAGGAATTGCTGATGGAGGGCATGTGAGGTGTGTGCAAGAGAGAGGACACTGGGGAGAGGGTGGTGCCTGTTACTGAGAGGAGGAAGACTGGGCCAGAGACGTCTGGAGAAGAATCAGGAGCTCTGTTTAAGCCAAGCTTACTTTGAGATAGTTAATTAGGTATTAAACTGTATTTTTCAAGTAAGCAGTTGGATTGATATGAGAGTTTGGGGTGAACAGAGCTATCAAGGATGGAGATATAAAGATGGGAGTTATCATCGAATAGATGGCTTTCAAAGCCATAGGACTTGACAAAATCACCCAGAGAGAAAGTGTAGCTAGAAAAGGGAAATGAAGGGAAGAGAGGGGAGGACAAGGGAGTGGAGAAGGAAGAGAGAGGAAAGAAGGAAGAGAACCCCTGACTGAGTCCTAAAGTAATCCAAGAGAGGCAAAAATCAGTAAGGCAGTATTGTAAATGAATAAAATTTGTTTTCTGAAATTTTCTTATTGTTCATTCACCAATTAACATTTATTTAGGACATACTAAGTTCTGGGTGTTGGGAATATGATGGTGTAGCAAAGGTATATTTTCTACAAAACATGCTACCCTTTGTGTGCATTTTCAGTGCAAAAAATTCTCATTATCTTTTCTGTCTTTCACAGTTAAGGCTTACTCCTAAGACTGGAGGCAGATCTAACCTTGCATAATAAATGTCTATAGGACTAAAAAAGTTTTGTCACCTCTCCCAAATATTCATTCTATTTAATAAGGGACTACTTCCTCTTTGACTCAGGTCAAAGAAAAACAAATGAGATTAGTAGGAGACTTTTGGAGTAAATAGCGTAAGACAGACTTTGAAGTCAGATATTCTTGGACTTGAATGTTGTTTCTATCCCTTCCTATGTAAGTGAATTATCTTTATACCTTTAAGCCTTAGCTACTGCATGTGTAAAATATGGATAAGAATAACTACTTTATAGAGTTGTTGAATAGTGTAAAGGCATTTTGCATGTAAAGCACTTAATACAGTGATCCGCACATTTTATCCTTGTTGCTCAAAGAAATATTATTAGTAAACTATTATACAATTTCAGATAAATTAATTGACTGACTTACAGATCATCATTTTGTCTTACTTAGAAAATACAAATAAAAACAATAAAACCTTTAAGTTTGAGGTGAAGATTTAGGTTAGAATGTGCATGAACAGCTTTTTGAAAAAAAAATCCTGTTTCCTAAGGAGGATGGGCATGGCAGAGTGAGGTGAGGGAGGCTAAGATGCAATTTTGCATACACAGACCTCCAAGATATTTTACTAAGGAAGGGTTACTTTAGAATTATCCTTTAATACACGGGTTCCTGTTTACCAGTCATTGAGGAGCCGCATTATAAAAATGGGCTCTAGAGCTACCTGTGCTAGCACATTGCCAGGCTACCATATTTAAGTCAGTTTGAGAACGATGAAAGGTGAAGCAGTGTGAGTAGCTCACTCTGGTTATGTAGAACATTTTATAATAATTTTTAAACAGCTAGACATTAATTATTAGGATAGTTGGCCTCAAGAAAATTTAAGGGTTAACATCTGGAAAAAAAAATGGAATGCAAAAGAAATAAATCATTGCTTGTGTGCATTCAAAAGTCGATGATTCTGAAAGATAAAGAGTGAATCATGACTCAGTACTTCCACTTCTGGGTATATACTGAGGATAGAAAACACATATCTGTACAAAAATTTGTACATGGATGTTCACAGCAACATTATTCATTATAACCTAAAAGTAGAAACAATCCAAATGTCATTCAACTGATGAATGCATAAAAAATATGGCATATACATACAATGGACTATTATTTACAATAAAAAGAAATGATGTATTGATACATACTACAACATGGATGAACTTGGAAAACATTATGCTAGGTGAAAAAAGCCAGATACAAAAAGCCATATATTGTATAACTCCATTTATGCCAAATGTACAGAGCAGGTAAATAGGGGCAGAAGGTAGACTAGTGGTTATCAGGGGCTGCGGTAAACAGGTATGGGGAGTGACTACTAATAGGCACTGGATTTCTTTAAGGGGAGATGAAAATATTTTAAATCACATAGTGGTGATGGTTGCACAACTCTGAGTATAGTAAAAAAAAAAAAACCCAGTAAATTGTACACTTTAAAAGGGGGAATTTTATGGTAGGTGACTTATTTCTCAATAAATCTATTTTTAAAAAGTGGGACAGTATGTTGGAAAGGTTGTGGGTAAGGGTGGGTAAATCTCAACTTCCCACAAAAATACTATGGGGGAAAAACAGAAAATTACAAAAATCGATATAACAAAAATTTAGAATCGATATTCAATTTAGTGCAGATTCTGGGGAAATTTTCTATTAATTTTGAGACCAATGTAGCAAAATGGTAAAACACAATTGGTGACCTAATCATTCTATGGTTAGGTCTATCTCCCCTGGCTCAGAAAGACAGCTTATAGAAACTTTGTATTGCTTGGGCTTATGAAAGTCGAGGTATACCCTCAACCAAGGGGGAATACTACAACTCTGAGAAAACCAGTGCTGCGGGTCAGGTTGGAGCATAGTGCCTGCAAATGACATATTACTTTTTATGATCTAAGGAGAATCTCGACCTTTCCTCCCTGATCTCCTTCTAACAAAGGCACACATATTTGAAATGTTTCTTGATTTCCATGTCACATCTGGATAAATTATCTATGAAGGCTTGTGTGTTCATGTAGGCAACATTATACAGACACATTCCAGGTGTCAGACAGAACGTACAATCTTGATCTCATTTCCATCCAACACTCACCACCAGTTTCAGTGAGAGATGCTGTGCTAGGGGATAACTGTGTTGAAAACATGCAGTTCATGCTTTATGTAACATACTCTAATTAAGCAGAATTAAGCAGACTTCTGAGACCGTGTGTATAGATCACCTCATGAGATACCTACAAAACTACTTCTACTGAATTAAACTTTGATGTGAAGCCATCAGCCCATATTTAGGAAAGCCATTAGAAAAAGTTGTAAAACTCATAATTGGTTATTATAAGGAGAGTACTGATAAAGCTAAATAAACTTTTGCTTTGTACAAATCTTTAGAAATACTATCAAGAGACAGATACTATTTTAACATTTGATAATTAGTATTATCATTATATCGTGATTAATATAAGATTTTATATTATAGTTATATGTATACTCTAATAAATTTAAAAATAAAATTATATTATCATATAATAAATATATCATATTAAATATAAGCATATATTATATATTGATAATAAAACCATAATACATAAAATATATAATTTATCCATATAGTTAAGTGTAATGATAAATATCATTAATTCATAGCTAAATTTATTTCTCTAAAGCAAGTTGATTCTTTTTTATCTTATAGAAATTGTGAATTATGGAACTATCCGATGTTCCTATTGCCAGTACTGCTAGAATACTTAGAACCAGGAAGATTTATGAAAATTATGTATAATATAATACAAATTCACATTATAGCCACTTCCTATACATTTGAATAGCTTTGAAATAATTAAAATGAAAGCAACATTTCATTGTTAAAAGAGAATAATGTATTTAGCATTATTTCAACCTATTAACAACTGTGGGGACATTCTTACTTCTAAACTCTTCTTCACTCTCAACGGTATTCATTACGCTTTCTAATGTTTCATTATTTTCAAGTGAATTCCGGAAACATTTATGCTTCAGGTTGCCCATGAACAGCTGTAGTCCTATTAGTGCAAACACACTCAGGCAGAACACAGTCAGGATCATGACGTCAGAAAGCTTCTTCACAGACTGGATCAGGGCCCCCACAATGGTCTTCAGGCCTGAAAACAGGGTAGGGTGGGGGGAGGAAAGGCATTCATAATGACATAAAGCCTCTGAATGAGAAACAGAAACAGAACACAAGCTTTTGTGTTAAGGCATGCATTATATCAAATCTATGACCTTGAATAACCTGATTTTAAAAAAGCCTACTAGCTCAAAAGGATGGATTTGCTATTTTACATATACTTTGTTTCTATATATTACAGCAAATGATTAAAAATCTTAAAATATTCTTAAAGAAAATTCTCGTTTTCAAAAAGAATAATTTGGCTGCTCAAACTACTTGTAAAAATAATCTTTATAAGTTCTAATTCTGTAAATGCTTGTCAAACAAACCACCTCTCTATAATGGCACCAAAACAAATCATAGCACAGAGACAACTTATAATGAACTGATTTTCAATAAAGAAATGGTTTGTTGAGAAAAATATAAAACGATGTGTCATGCCATACTCCCATGCTGATATTTATCTCTTTCTTAACTATATGAAAAGCAATGAAAATGAATTGAAATTTTCCTTCCTGGATAAGCAAATGGAAAATGAATCCTTACACAGGAGGGAAAATTTCAAGTTGAGATGTGAGCCAAGTGGTCATCTTCATCCTCCAAGACCCATGCAGTTGATTAAACTCAAAGGCTGACTTTTAATAATGATTGTAAAAAACAGAAGAAATCAAATTTAATTCAAATTGCATAAGAGAAAGGTTTTTTTTTTTTTTTTTTTTTTTTTGCCTTTCCTCCAAAGGATCAAAGTCAGCCCCGGTGTTTAACTCCACTCTCACCTGGAATGACTGAAATTGTTTTCAATGCTCGGAGAACTCTGAATGTTCTCAACGCTGAGACATTGCCCAGGTCCACAAACTCTGTCACATATCTGTAATAGGGGAGTTTATATACAAACACAGTGACAACACACACACAAACGAACAAAGAACAACTCCCAAATAGTTGGAGTTATGAGTGGCCTAATGCTTCACACCAATTACTTCTTACCTGGGATTACAGAAATAGTTTTCAAAGCTCTCAATACTCTGAAAGTTCGAAGAGCTGAAACATTGCCTAGGTTTACAAATTCTGTTAAATACCTGTAGAATTAAATCAGAGTTATTCAGAATTTAGATAGAGTCTATGATACTTACCTGAGCCTTTAGTCAAGGTATTTTCTACATTTGGAACTTCTTTTTTTAAATGTATAGTTCTGCAAGTCTTTTTTCTATCATAAGTAATTTAATATAATTTGCTTTGATTTGACCCAGTTGATGCAAACAAAATACAAATATTATTAATGTGATTTCATATACTTAAATGCCTAAATAAACAATTAAAAGCTTCAATTATTTACCCTTAACAGTATGGCAATATAGATTTTTAATTTCCTATAAAACATTGAAAACAGTATGCTAAGTGAAAGAATTCAGACACAAAAGGCTGCAGACTGTATGATTCCATTCATATGAAATGTCAAGAATAGGAAAATTCATAGAGATAAAATGCAGATGAGTGATTTCCAAGGGGTGGGTGGAGAAGGGAATAAAAGTGACTGCTAATGGGTATGGGGTTTCTTTCTGGGGAGATCAAAATGTTCTCTAATTAGATAGTGGTGATAGTTGCATAACTTTGTGAATGTACTAGAAAACACTGAATCACATACTCTAAAGGGTGAATTTTATGGTATGTGAATTGTCTCAGTAGAAAAAGGAGACCCACGTGAAAAGGTAGTCTTTTGTGCACAGTGTTTTCTTATCAGCAGGTAGCAGATGGAACTGTGGCATCACACGTGACCTTGAAAGGAGGGAGCCTGATGGACAAGGAGGTGGGCAGGGTAAGGGAATCGGAGACCAGAAAGCTTAAGACCCTTCTGTATTGTCTAAGTGGCTCCAATAAACATGGATTACTTTTATAATTCAAAATCATAAGGAAAAAATGTCACATCTAGGTTTGAGATTAAAAAATAAATGTTGCTGACAAATACATTTGGGGAAAGATTAGTAATTATGAATAAATTAAAATTATATGTTAATGTGATATTTTTCCTTGAAAATAAACTGTGGATGCATATGTAATGCATATATAATTCATTGATGTTAGGTTTAGTAAGCAGTGACAGCTCTTGTAAAAATATTTACTTTTATATTTTAATACACTTAGCCCTTAAATAGTGCAGGTTAATAAAAAGAGCACTGTACTTATAATTAAAAGCTTAAGGGGTTTTTGTGTGTGTGTGCTTCTTACAGGTTTTATGAGTTTTTTAAATAAGAACTTGGAAAAAGTGTGAACCTAATTGTCACTGCATAGACTGTCCATCCAAGCGCTGAGCATGGAGAAAGATGATCAATCTTCATAATGTTATATCCCTTTGATTGGGAAATAGTCTTTTTGAAAAATTTAATATTTGCCTATCAAATATTACATATTATCTTTCATATAGCTTTCATTTCCCTTTAAATATGAGCATTATATGCAGGAAAAATCAGATCTGAAAGACTGTTCTTACTGGAATACTGTGCTGTCTAAGATTTTCACGTTTGCTATTTCAAAAAAGTGAAAGTACTTACGCAAAAACAATGACCACAAAATCCAGCCAGTTCCATGGGTCACGAAGGAAAGTGAATTCTCCTACACAGAAGCCTCTTGCAAGAATTTTTACAAGTGATTCAAAAGTATATATTCCAGTAAAAGTGTACCTAAACATAAGAATTCATTGGGATATTGAGTGTATAAAGAATAAAGCACCATGTAAATCTTTATAATTTATTTTCTCTGATTAACTAAAGGAAGGCATCTATTGGAAGGTGGCTGTTCATTTATGGACCCCGCCTAACTATTAGAATAAATGACAATAAAGATTGTTCCAGAAAATACTAAAATATACAATCAGAAACATTCCCAGAAAGCAGAGGAACTGGAAATAACCAAGAACATAGGTAATTAGATCTGCCTCGAAAATTCCTACATTGCTCCTATCAAAAATACAACCAAGAATAAGAGATATGTAATATGTTTAAGAACAGGGCAGGGCATCTAATGAGTTCATTCTTCTAGAAAACACTGTAGCATCTAAATTATTCTAATCTACTGCTAGCAGGTTAATACCATAGAGGAGGAAAAGAAAAAGAACTGACAGAAAAGCAACTACACAACATGGGAAGATAAACATCACAATTTTTGTAGATGCAATAATTTCCTGGCAGGAAAAGGAAAGGATGAAAACGATAACGTTTAAGCTATATTAAAATGCACTTATACCCACTTACTCTACATTTTTGGTCCAATCTGGAGGATTATTCATGGTCATAAATATGCAGTTCGTCAGAATAGTACACATGATGAGCATGCTGAATAAGGTAACTTAGAATCAAGGAATATGAAAAGAGACCACAGCAGGAACTTTGAATATTAGATGTTGAAATGCTAACAACTTTATTTGAGAAAATAAGTCTAAATGAATTTACACACTATCTTTTTTTATCTCTTTGAACAAAAGAGTAATAAATAAAAGTAATATTTCCTAAGATTCTACTATTGTCAATCTTCTCTGAGAACTACAACAAATTATATTAAAATTGATAAACTAAAAACCAGAGTATTTCAAGATGCAAAAGAACTAAAATCTATATTTGAATAAAATATCACAAACTACACCTTAAAGTACCATGGGAAGTAATCATTTTGAAAAGGATATGAGTGTACTAAAATTTTAATAGATATTCTTCTTAGAGGACTGAAAGGAGATAGCATGTACAAAGCAGGTGTGGCATTGAAACGGAAGATCGCTTTGCCTTTATTCAGTACTATGAAAGTCTGCAGGAAGAAAAAGAAGAGTATGAAATTGGGAATCCAAAATTTCAACTTAGCACATTGGTATCAGCATTTCACCTTTTCCACACGGTAGTGCTGTATTAAAGAAACACTTCCAACAGACTCCAACAATGTGGTTCCAATGCCATCAATGCAGTTATCAGTGTTACCTTGGCTAATGAATTCCAACTCCATTTCTTCTTAGTAGATTAAGAATTGAGCTATTTATGAGCACATAGATGTTTCAAAATACTGTGTCTTCTCTTTTTTGTATCCCTTCAACAATAACAATAACTGTGGCTATTGAAATTAGTTTAAAATACAACTCCCTTCTCTTCCATTACATTGCATTTTAAGCAAACCAAATAGAAATTAGTTATCCTTGATTTTTACCATAACACCTTGAGAATTTTGATAATTCCTGGCAATTGTCATGATTGGTTGCAAATATTCCAAACTATGAGTTTCTTTCAAAAAGTATTTTCATAAATTAAAGGAATGTCAGAGTTGGAAGAATCCTAATCACCCCATTCAATTTCCCTATTTTAGTTGTAATACTAAAATTAAAGGACTTGCTTGCTACAAACCATGGTAATTTAAAAAAACAAATGAATCAAATCAAACATTCTTAAAATATGTTAGTGTAGCTGTTGCATAATGAGTGACATTCTCCGTGGCTTTGATACTTAGTTAAGAAATAAGAACAAACAAACAAATAGCAGCAACAACAAAACATTAAAACAACCTAAGGCATTGGCTTGGAAATCAAAAAAACAAGTTCAAATCTCTGTCTCATTTTTCTTCAGTTGGCAGACAAATTACTTGTGCTAGCTAGAAAACATTGACTTAGTCTTTTTGTTGTTGTTTTGTTTAATCTGAGTTTTATGTAAGTTTTTTGTTTTTTGTTTTTTTTTTTTTTTTTTTTGAGACAGAGTCTCACTCTATTGCCGGAGTAGAGTGCCGTGGCATCAGCCTAGCCCACAGCAACCTCAAACTCCTGGGCTCGAGCAATCCTACTGCCTCAGCCTCCCGAGTAGCTGGGACTACAGACATGCACCACCATGCCCGGCTAATTTTTTCTATATAGATTTTTAGTTGTCCAAATAGTTTCTTTCTACTTTTAGTAGAGATGAGGTCTCGCTCTTGCTCAGGCTGGTCTCGAACTCCTGACCTTGAGCGATCCACCTGCCTCGGCCTCCCTGAGTGCTAGGATTACAGGTGTGAGACACCGTGCCCAGCCTTTATATAAGTTTTTAAGTGGGTTTCTGGCAATAAACATTTTCACCAAATTAAGGAAGTAAATTTGTGAATCTAGCTTTTTACTTCTATGTGGCAGTGTTCTCTCAAGAAAACAAACCAGAATCTATTATTTTCAAATGTCCTTTTATTTTCCCATTCCTTTTCACTCTACCGGTTATGTCCGAACACAATTTAACATAAAATTCACTTTTACATTGAAAAATTAATTTAAAAATTGTCCTTGAGTACAACTCTTTTTTTGTTAAATCTCAGTATGCTTTTTAAAATTCATTCCTCCATTCTTTCTACAATTGTATAGTGAGCAACTATGTCATCAGAGGCAATGAAAGGAGTGAGCATAAATAAGGCTTGGGTTTTTTATTCAAGGGACTTCCTAGAAAAATGATAAGAATACAATAACCTTAACATAAGGTATGATTGATAGGTATCACACAGAGACATATAAACGGGGGACAAAGAGAGTAAAAAGGAGACAGGGTCACATGTCTGTCAGAATTACCAGGGAGACTTCCTGAACCAGAGGTCAGCTGAGCTAACACAAAAACCACAACATTACTACCTTGCCTTGGCAAGATCAAGTTATGTTACACTTAAAATAAAACAGAAAAAGACTTAGTTTTGTATTTTAAAATTTAAATTATCAATTTTCATTTGCATTAAAAATCTCTAAGTAATTTGTGGGCTTATACATACACATGCATTAGTTATAAGCAGGAAAATAGGTATGAATATGAATCCATGTGATTTGGGGATCAGTGTGTCGTGTCCAGAGAAATACAACATTACACTGAACACTGCCGAAATATAAAAAAGAACTTAAAAGTAGTATGCCAATGTTAGAATCAGTTGTAATGAAAAATAAGAAAAAGTACATGTTCTGAATGTCCTGTTATATATTTAATTTAACATTCTAGTCATGATGTGCTATTCACCGAATTCCACTAATCTTAATTTAAAATATCTTTAATACAAAAGGAAGCCAATAGAAATCCAGCACTGAAGTCAAAATAAACTCACTTTTTTGTCTGCGTAGTATGGGTCCAGGTCCTCCAGGGGCTCTGACACCATGCCTGGAGGAATGTCGCCATAGATGAAGGGCAGCTGTTTGCCAGCCTCCAAGTCGCTGCTTGGCTTTGGGGCTTCTTCATCATCTTTCTTTTCTTCTTTGGGTTCCTTTGCTTTTCCTTCGGCAATGCGTTGTTCAATGAGGGCAAGAGACTGTTTGGTGAAGTGGACAAAGCTCTGAGGTCCTGGGGGAGGCAACATTGCCATCTTTTCATCCTGTATATTTTATTTCCCCTTCAGCTCCTTACATAAGAGGCCTGGTGGAAACAAAGAAAGAAAACTTACACGTCTGCCTGCCAGGGAAGTCACATTAACAACAACAAAGATTTTTAGTTTCAACTACAAGAGGTAGTATGTTCATAGAATTTTATCAATTTGTTAAGTGACTATTACATGTCAGGCAATGGATAGGACTTATTTTCCATGCCTTCTAATCATTTTTATATTTAAAAATTTTAACTTAACATTTGAGAGTTTTAAAATAAAAAAATGATAATTTCACGAAGAAATTTTTCTAAATTCACTATTCATCTTTATTCACCTTTGGGGCAAATCAACTCAATTTTTCTCTTTTAAAAGTCCTCATAGGCCAGATGTGGTGGCATGCACCTGAAATCCCAGCTTCTCAGGAGGCCATAGTAGGAGGATCACTTGAGTCTAGGAGTTTAAGACCAGCCTGGGCAACATATCAAGACCCTTTGCTGTCATTTCAACAATGTTCACAGCATCTCCACCAGGAGTAGATTCCATCTCAGGAAACTACTTTCTTTGCTAATCTATAAGAAGCAACTCCTCATCCATTCAAATTTTATCACAAAATTATAGCAATTCAGTCATATCTTCAGGCTCCACTTCGGGTTCTAGTTCTCTTTCTGTTTCTACCACACTTTCTGTTGTTACCACACTTTCTGTTGTTACTTCTTCCAATGAAATTTTGAATCCCTCAAAGGCATCCATGAGGGTTGGAATCAACTTCTTCCAAATTTCTTTTAATGTTGATATTTTGACCTCCTCCCATGAATCACAAATGTTTTTAATGGCATCTAGAATGGTAAATCCTTTTCAGAAGGTTTTCAATTTACTTTGTCCAGATCCATCAGAGAATAGCACTATCTAAGGCAGCTATAGCCTTACAAATGTATTTCTTAAATAATAAGACTTAAAAGTCAAAATTACCCTTTGATCCATGGACTGCAAAATGTACGTTGTGTTATCAGGCATAAAAACAACACTGATCTCCTTATACATCTCCATTAGAACTCTTGAGTGACCAGGTGTATTGACAATACAAAAGTGAGCTTAAAATACTCCATAAAAAATGCTATAAACAGATGTGCTGTTATTCAGGCTTTGTTGTTCCATTTATAGAGCACAGGCAGAGTAGATTTAGCATACTTCTTTAGGGCCCTTGGGTTTTCATAAGGGTCCTAGGGTTTTCAGAATGATAAATGAGCACTAATTTCAACTTAAAGTCACCAGCTGTATTACTTCCTAACAAGAAACTCAGCCTGTCCTTGGAATCCTTGAAGCTAGACACTGACTTCTTCTCTCTAGCTGTGAAAGTCCTAGATGGTATCTTCTTCCAGCAGAAGGCTGTTTTGTCTACATTCAAAAGTTGTTGTTTATAGTACCCATCTTCATCAGTGATCTTAGATCTTTCTGATAACTTGCAGCAGCTTCTACCTCAGCACTTACTGTTTCACCTTGTACTTTTATGTTATGGAGACGGCTTCTTTCCTTAACCCCCCTGAACCAACTTCTGCTGGCTTTGAACTTTTCTTCTGCAGCTTCCCCACATCTCCCAGCCTTCACAGACTTGAAGAGTCTTAGGGTCTTGCTCTGTGTTAGACTTCGGCTTAAGGCAATGTTGTGGCTGTTTTGATCTTCTCTCTAGACCACTAAAACTGTCTCCATATCAGCAATGAGGCTGTTTCTCTTTCTTATCATTCATGCGTTTACCAGACTAGCACTTTTAATTTCCTTCAAGAACTTTTCCTTTACATTCACAACTTGGCTAACTGCTTGGTGCAGGAGGTCTATCTCAATTTTTGACATGCCTTCTTTACTGAACTTATTTCTAGCTTTTGATTTAAAATGAGAGATGTGTGACTCTTCCTTTTACTTGGACACTTAGAGGCCATTGTAGATTATTAATTGGCATAACTTTAATATTATTGTGTCTCGGGGAATAAGGGGGGCTCAGCATAGGAGAGAAATGGGGAAATGGCCAGTTGGTGGAGCAGTCAGACACACAGAACATTTATCAATTAAGTTGGCCGTCTTACATGGGTGTGGTTCTGTGGCACTCCAAAGCAATTACAATAGCAACATGAAAAATTACTGATCACAGGTCATCATAACAGATATAATAATAATGAATAATGAAAAATTTTGAAATATTGTGAGAATTACGAAAATGTGACACAGACACACAAAGTGAGCACATGCTGTTGAAAAAAAATTATGCCAACAGACTTGCTCAACACAGGGTTGCCAAAAACCTTCAATTTGTAAAAAATGCAGTATCTGTGAAGCGCAATAAACTGAAGCACAATATAACGAGCTATGCTTGCATTTTGATAGTAACTTAAGATAATTTTTTAAAAAAGAATGTAGTAAAAAATAAGGGATAATGTGTACACGCATTGAAAAGTAGGATCATTCTGAAAGATAAAAGTAAGTTATGACACAGTAATTCTATTACTAGGTATATATTTAAGAGAACTTAAAACATATGTCCACGCAAAAAAGTTGTAAATAAATGCTCACAGCCACATTATTCATGATAGCTAAAAAATGAAAACAATCCAGATGTCCATCAACTGATAAATGGATAAACAAAATGTGGCCTATCCACATAGTGAAATATTATTTGGCAATAAAAACAAACGAAAAACAGATACATGCTACAACATGGATGTAATGAAAACCCAGTGAAAGAAGATAGACATAAAAGGCCATATGTGATCCCATTTTGTGAAATATCAGAATAAGCAAATCGCCAGAGGCAAAGAGTGGATTATTGTTTGTTGGAGGCTGGGTGGTGGAGGTAGTAGGAAGTGACCGTTAATGGCTACGTGGTTAATGGTCAATAGCTATGAGGCTTCTTTCTGGAGTGACAAAAATGTTCTAAAATTAGGCAAGGATGATGGTTGCATAACTTTGTGAATATACTATTTAATAAAAACCACATTTACATTTTAAACTGTATACTTGTGCACTTTAAAATAAGTTTTATGACATGAAAATTATACCTCAGTAAAGCTATTATAAAAATGCACTAAAAATTGAACTAAGAAATATGTGAAAATTGTCCTGAGAATAGGAAAGAAGTTTGGTAAAATGAAAACAAACCAACACCAACCACCTTATGAGTCTCCAAAGGTTCAGTATAAATACAAAATTGCTTTGGGTCTAAGATTAACTGAGGAAAAATTAAGGTTTAGTTCTAGTACTTAAATGCCAACCTTGGTACGGTTTATAAAACTTTGATCACAAACCAGGTGATTTGATTCCAGAAGTTAGTGGCCTTTTCAAATTTACACCAAATCAGTCTGAGAAGCAAGGCAGTGAGTGTAGTTGTTGCTTGTGCTTTGGAGATTCCTGAACACTTTTGGAAATTATAAAAATAAGGGGAAGGGATTAGTTGCCTCAATAGAATTTCAGTATAAACATATCTGGGCTCTTGAAGAAAAGATGACTTGAATAACTGGGGGTTTTGTACACTCTATATTCAAGTGGAGGGTATTACCTCTTCCAAGAATTAATTGACAGAAACCCAGGTATCCAAGTAAATAGATGTCATGGAACTCAGATGTCCATCACCAATTCCACTCTTCCAATATTTTTAGTCTCCTTTGCCCCTCTTTCCTTCCCTTCCTCCCTCCCTCTTTCTCTCACCCCTTCTCTCTTCATGGTCATGCTCAGCACACACAGCTCCTGAATGACTAAAGTATATGCAAACAGCAGACACAGGGGTGGTGGTGGGGGGTGGTGATTAATGTTAGTGGTATCATGCATAGGCAATGAAACGTAAGTTGAAGAGACCCTGATCAGATTCCATCATCATCCTTTAGTTTGGAGATGTGAAACTTTCATCTTATTAGTTTTACAGCTTTCAAGAACAGCTCTAGTTGATATCTGGGTTTGCATGGACGATATATTAATAGTACAACAAGGCTGGTGGGATGGCAAGATGGCAGGGTGACAGGGTCACATTGGGCAACACAAATAAAAATGGAGCCTCACACTTCTCCAACACACCCAGAGAAAATGCAATGACAGGGCAGAACCTATCCATGACTACAGCTTCTTTCCCCTTTCCTTTAGTCTGCTGGATAGACAACCAGGCAACAGAAATTTTCATCAGTCAGCATCCAGTTCAAGATTAGAGATTTCTGGTGGAGTAAATATTTAACTGGAAAAATAAAGCTCAAAAATTCTAAAAAACTTAAGATGAACATTTATGTAATGTGAAAGTAAAGAAGACTTCTAAAGTATTACACCAAAGGCCTAATCTATAAAGAAAACGAGTGCGAGATTTAATGTCAAAACAATGAACGTCTTTAAAAGTGGAAGGCATCTATCTGTGAAATGAAGAAAATACAATACAAATGATAGAGGAAGAGTTTTATCCTTAATGACTAAAGATGTTAAAATAATGAGAGATCTCAATGTAAAATTTAGAAAAGAACATAATTATTAAAAAATATAAATATGAATAAATACTTGTAAACCATTCAATCTTTACTAGTAATCAAAGAAATAAAAACTAAAATAAATGTGGGAAATCAAATTTAATCTATTAAATTAGCAAGGATTTTAACAAAAATAATAGTGATATTAGAGATGGTATGGGGAAATCACTGCTTCCAGTCTAGAAGACAGGAAAAAATGAGGTGTATAAACTTTTTGAGGATAATTGTGTAC